GAAAAATGTCTGAAAGAAGACATAAATAAAAAGGTTCAAGAAGAACCAAATAAAGATAAGGATCCAGATGACGAGGAGGGAACAGAAAGGTATGAGATTTCCATCAACTACACCCAAGATGAAAAGTTATGGATCAGAAATAAAATAAAAGATGTTGATGGAATATTCTTCTTTTCTGTGTCCAAAGAAATAGATCACGAAAGTGATGATCCTGATCCAAGATCCATTTTAGAATGTATGAAAAGACATGATTGGGAGGAGTGGAAGAAGGCCATTGAAATTGAATTACTCTCCCTAAATAAAAGAAATGTCTTTGGACCTATAGTCATAACGCCTGAGAATATAAATCTTGTTGGGTATAAGTGGGTACTCGTGAGAAAAGTAAATGAAAAGAATGAAGTAACACGATATAAAGCCCGATTAGTAACCCAAGGTTTTTTCTCAGAGACCGGGAATTGATTTTGAGGAAACGTATTCTCCGGTAATGGATGCAATTACGTTTAGATTTTTGATGAGCCTTACGGCGTCAAAGAATCTTGAAATGCATCTTATGGACGTTGTGACTGCATACTTGTATGGATCATTGGATAATGATATATACATGAAACTCCCTAAAGGATTAAAAATGCCAGAAGCATTAAAAGAGAAACCCAGGGAGATCTGTTCGGTCAAGCTACAGCGATCACTTTACGGATTAAAGCTGTCTGGTCGCATGTGGTACAATCGCTTAAGTGAATATCTCTTGAGAAAAGGATATGTGAATAATGCGATATGTCCATGCGTTTTTATAAAGAAATCGTCATCTGGCTTTGTGATCATTGATGTATATGTTGATGACCTGAACATTATTGGAACTAAAAAACGAGGTTGATGATGCACGAACTCATATGAAAGAAGAGTTCGAAATGAAAGATCTCGGAAAGACAAAGTTTTGTCTTGGGCTCCAGATTGAGCATCTCCGAGAAGGTATATTTGTGCATCAATCAAATTATACGAAAAGGTTATTGAAACGCTTTTGTATGGACAAAGCAACTCCTTTGAGTACTCCAATGGTTGGTAGGACTCTCGATGTTGAGAGAGATCCTTTTAGACCCTGTGAAGATAGCGAAAAGATGTTAGGTCCAGAAGTACCTTACATGAGTGCTATCGGTGGATTGTTGTATCTAGCGAACTGTACCAGACCTGATATTGCCTTTGCCACTAATCTTCTTGCAAGATATAGTTCGGCTCCTACTCATAGACATTGGAACGGAATTAAACACATATTCCGTTACCTTCAAGGTGCGGTTGACCTACGTTTAATGTATTTTAGAAAACCCGAGTTTGGTATGGTTGGTTTTGCAGATGCTGGATACTTATCAGATCCTCATAAGGCTCGTTCTCAAACCGGCTATGTTTTTACAATTGGTGGGACAGCGATCTCTTGGCGTTTGCAGAATCAAACTCTGGTTGCAACATCTTCGAATTATGCAGAAACCATTGCACTTCACGAAGCCTGTCGAGAATGTGTGTGGCTTAGATCAATGAGTTACCACATACAAGAAGCAAGTGGAATAGTTGATAAGAAAGAGCCGAAGAAAATGTTCGAAGACAATTCGGCGTGTGTTGCTCAACTTAAAGAAGGTTATATCAAGAGCGATAGAACGAAGCATATGCCTCCAAGATTTTTCTAGTACATACGGCAGATCGAGAAAAATAAAGAAGTGGACATCGAGTATATACGGTCATGCGACAATTCCGCAGATTTGTTTACAAAGGCCCTTCCTACTACGACGTTTCGAAAACACGTCTACGGTATCGGGATGCGACATTTACGTGATCTATGAAGAAAAAGCTATGTCCATTATGCTCAGGGGGAGATTACGCCAGTGTACTCTTTTTCCTTTTTCATGGTTTTTAGCCCAACGGGTTTTTCCATGCTTAAGGTTTTAACGAGGCACTACATAATATAAGATGGATAATCAAGGGGGAGTGTTAGATTATCCATCTCATGAAGACATTTGTCTCATGACTAATATTATGTTTGTCATTGTCACTAGACACATATCATTTTGTGTGTATTGTTTCATCTCCTATAAATAGGGATTTTGTGAAATGAAAATGAGAATCACAAGTTGATCAACTCCTCTCTCTCTCTAACGTGATTTCTCACACAAACAACATATATATAATAATATATTAAACACAAATATATAAAACTATACATCTGAGTTAATATATTACAACAATTATAAAAATACTTACAATAACTATCAATTGTTATTGGAATTAAAAAATACCCAAATCTCAGTAACTAAACCAATAATCTTTTTTGCTTTAATATTTTTTTGTGGTTTGAATCTAGGTAATTATTTATAATTAACTTTTAATAAATCTAAGGCATAAAATTATTTAGAATTCTTAAAATATTTTGAATATTATAAATATTAATATCCTTTCATGGGTTTCTAAAAATTTATCAGTTATACTTATGTATATAACTTCTTATTGATCATCCTCTTATTACTAATATTTTTTTTAAAAATCAACATGTAACAAATTATTAAAACTATTATAAAAATACTTACACATTTAAGCAAAAAAATAAAACTAATTTAATTAGTTGTAATTACAATAAAAATATTTATATTTTTGTTTGGATATGAAAGAATGTAAGTAACTTAATATACTCACAAATAATTAAGTGAACTAGTCCATTTTATATCCAAAATCAAAAATCTAACTACAATAAAAACATATAATTTATTAATAATAATTTTTTTTGTTTACATAAATTACAGGATGACTAAAAACATATTAATTAGAAAATAAACTATTGATTAATTGTTACAATTCTGTTTTTTTTTTTTTGTTAAATTTATTTATATGCATGAGACTTCAGAATACTATTTATCTATTTTATTTATAATCAGACACATCAATTTATTTTTTGTTTCATTCTAAGCACAATATATATTAAGTTACACATAATTTTATTAAAATATATTTACATATCTAAGACGACAACCAACCAAAATACAAATAACAAAATTAAGCAAATCTCATATAATTAAAACAAAAATATATTTATATTGTTAATATTCATATTTGTGCATAAGCAAGGGAGTATCAACTAGAACTTAATATACATAAAGGTGTAACCCCACTTTATTAAACTCAATTTTTTGTATGTTTCTTACTAAATTATCTGCAGTTCCTATAAAATTTAAGGAAAATTGGACCTAGTACCTAAGAAAAAAAAACAAAATGAGCTATCTAACCAAAATTTCATTCTCTCTCCTTTTTTCTCTTCTTATCACTTTCTATCCTCTCTTTCAAATACTTCCTTTTATTTTTATGGTTATTTGGAAAATAAGCCCAAAATTTAAACTGACACTGTTCACGAATCATTTTTTTTATTTGAGTTTATGTTTATATGCCGGTGAGATTAACTCATGGTTTATACACCAGCGAGATTATATAACTCATGATTTCTTTGTGCTTTAATAAATAAACTGAAGGTGAAACTAACAAGACATTTCAATGTAGTAGTTTGAATCAATTCGTAGGAGAAGAGAGTGGAGGCTGTGATTTGAATGGAGTCGGCTTTAAGGGTTTGGAATCCAGCGATTCTTCTTTTGTCTTTGTAGATCTGTCCGACTTTCTTAGGCGGTGGTGGTGTGTGATGCATCGGGCCTCTCTCTCCATGTTTCTCTCTGGTTGGTTGTTTATCGAGAGTTCTTCCTAGAAGTGGTGTGGTTCGTGAAGCTTTCTCTCTCGTCCGAACTGAGTGTCCTCTTTGACGAAAGCGACGTTTTTCTCGATTTCTTCTCCTGCACTCCACGGCGCCGGTGACTGCTACGATAACTACATCGCGGGGGATTCGTCGAGACTCAACAACACCTGACTCAAGGTATTCTGGGGCTTCAATTACGGCTTCTTAGATCTCTGGTGACTGATTTGATCGCTCCTCCGGTGCATCTAAGGCTCTGGTTTTTTCTTATAAAAACAGAGTACTTTTAGAGATACTGTTCAGAGAGTTGTTATATCTCCTTTGCCATTGGTAAAGTACATTCTTTGGTGTACTCATCCTCTGGTTCATCTCTTATCAGTACATCCATTGGTGTATTGCTCCGCTACTGCATCACTGGACTCGCGTTGTTTGATCCGTTACTTAACCGATCGCATAGTATGGGGTCTCTTAACCACTCGATATCAGCTCATATGGTTGACTCAAAAGGAAAATCAATCCTAATTGATGATGATGGTGAGCCAATAAAACTCACAGAGCAATATGATCCCTTTGTCATCAAGGAATTCCGTTTATCTTTGATCAGAAAGATCCTCAACCCTAAGAAGCAATGTGTTTTAAAGCTAATTCAGAAGATGCCACAGCAGTGGGGTGTCCAAGATAAGGTTACGGCTAATGATCTAGGCAGTGGCAAGTTTCTGCTCAACTTCAACACCGAAGAAGACTTAAATGGTGTACTCCGTCAGGGCCCTTTTCACTTAAACTATTGTATGTTCGTGCTGGTGCGTTGGGAGCATATTGTTCACGATGACTACCCCTGGATCATTCCTTTTTGGGTTACTTTCATTGGGATGCCATTGCATCTGTGGACTGACAAGAATTTGAGAAACATTGGGGGAAGATTAGGTGAGGTTGACACCTTAGACCTCTCGGAGGGTCGTCTCCTCATCCACATTGATTCACGCAGACCTCTGTAGTTTAATCGGAAGGTGCAGAGCCTAGAGGGAGACGAGGTCACTATAGAAATTAAGTATGATGTGCTCTTCAAGCATTTTACAATCAGCGGTTTAATGACACATGAGAAAGGTTACTGCCCTACTTCAGGCCAACCGGAGAAAGGGAATGTTTTCACTCGTGTTCAGGTACCACAAGATGAGAATGATCATCAGTCTTTGCTGATTGATCAACCTTCTCATAGGCGTGAATACAACATACCAGTTTACGGGGATGGACACCATGCTTTGTCCATGAATCCTCATCACTCCAACAGGCGCGAGATGTCGGAATCTCGAATCTTCACGAACCGAAAACAATGCAAGTCATAAAGTCGACAACAACTATCGTATGCGCTATCTAGGTGGTTCTCAAGGGCCTCCCAAACATGTTGATCGGATCATTAAAAGGGGAGGAGCTAAGCAAAAGGATAACTATCCTCGTCATGCGTACAGGCCTTATGATCGTAGGAGGGATCAATCTTGGCGTGAAAAGCAGAGGGACAAGAAGGATGATAGTGTGGCTCGTGGAAAGGTTGATCATAGATCATCCGGTGCAATTGTTCCCTATGAACAATCACGCTATACATCTGAGAAGGTACCCGAGAGATCAACTTCTCCTAAACATGATGATTCTTATGATAAAAAGGGAGAGGGATCAGAGACAAGTCGCCACGAGGGAAGGAAAAAAGCTGCCAGTGCAATTTTTTCTCCAGCGCTTAGGATTCAATCAATGAAACAGAATGTGATTATCCGAAGCAAGAGTGTCACACATTCTCTTACTTTTTCACCTAGACCGGCGAAAAATGATGCACATGATGCGCAAGTAATCGAAGCTTTGAGTGGGATGGATCATCAAGCTGCTGAGAATGAGGTTCAGTTAATGGATGAAGATGATCTTCTAAGTGAGGAACTCGGAGATCTTGAATCAACAACATTAGTAACAGCGACAACATATTCTCAACCGTCATCAAGGACTTTTAGGAATCCGACGAATGTTATTAGAAGGACCGCCCCTATGGGTATCCAAAATAAGAAGCAAGGGTTCCTCCGTCGAGGTTCTCCACGCCTGAGATCGACTATCTCCTCTACTCAGCGAATGCCTGCTGAGAATCAGAGACGAAGGCACGCAGATTCAAGTTCTAAGAAGGCACGTTCGAGATCAAACAAAGAAGGTGGTTTGATGGGATCCAAAAACCCATCCCTACTCCATCCATGAGGACAATCAGTTGGAACTGTCGAGGGATTGGAAGCAACCTCACTGTTCGACGCCTTACGGAGATGTGTCAGAAGCATCGCCCAGGACTTGTGTTTCTTTCTGAGACGAAGAATAGAAGGCTGCTGTTGCAAAACATTCAGGCCGACTTAGGATTTGATCGTTTGTTTACCGTTGAGCCACTTGGACTCAGCGGTGGTTAAGCTTTATTTTTTATGGATGAATTTCAAGTTAATGTTTTATTTTCAAATAACAGAATGATTGACATTGAGGCAGTCATTGATGGAATAAAAGTCTACATGACATTTGTTTATGGGGATCCTGTACTAGAAAGAAGAGATTTAGTTTGGGAAAGTCTTACGCGTTTCTCAACAACAAGAAATGGACCCTGGTTCATGATAGGAGATTTTAATGAAATTACCTGTCATGCAGAGAAAGAAGGAGGCAGACAACGCCCTGATAGCTCATTTCTGCCCTTTAGGCAAATGTTAAGTGATTATGGTATGCTGGAGTTCTCTTTCACAGGAAACATGCTATCTTGGGTTGGAAATAGAGCAGGGAGGACGACAGTTAGATGCCGTCTTGATAGGGCAGTTGGGAATGAGGATTGGCATGAGAAATTCCTTCATTCCAAAGTGAAGTATATGAGACTCTGGGGATCGGATCATCGTCCGATACTAGCTGATATCCTAAAAAAGAAACCTAGGAGAACAAGAAACTTCAAATTTGATAAGAGATAGTTGGATAACGACGAGCTCAGGCAAATTATACTTGAGGGATGGAAGTCACCGGACCTCCCACTAGACGCAAGTATAATGGGGCATATTGCCAGTTGCCGGCGAGCATTAAGTGAATGGAAAAAGCAGCATAATTTGAACTCAGAGAAAACAGTGGAGGAACTCAAGGAAAAGGTAGATCGTTTATCTTCAAATAATGATGGCACTACTGAGGAGATTGCGACAGCTATTAAGGAACTATCCGACGATCTTAAGGCGGAGGAGATGTTCTGGAAGCAGAAATGTAGGATTTTCTGGCTGAGAGAAGGGGATAGGAATACTAAATTCTTTCACGCCCTCACGAAGCAAAGGAGATCAAGGAATAAGATTACCCAATTACTGGATGAAGAAGGAAATGTTGTGGAGGATGAGGAAGGATTGGTAGCTGTGAGGGGCAAAACTCACTTCCTAGTTTAGGTTAGGTATAGATTGGGAAAAGATAATCGTGGGCTGAATCCTGTTGGAACTTGTATGAATGAATACGTTGTTTATATTGATTTTGGTGATAAAAGAGTTTACAAGGATGATCTTCACGATCTAAATAGAAAGAACAATGGTTGATAGAGAATGATTAAGAACAAAGTGTGTTAGAGTCTCTTTCTCTTGAATGAATCGAACCCCCTCTCTCTGATCTCTTCTCTTCTTTATATAGCACTAGGTCACGTCCAACTTCTCCCGGCGAAGCCTCCAAGATTATCTCCGTGAGTTGCGGGATTTGCAACAGCTTCCTCTTGACTAAGTCTTGTACGTTCTCCCGGAGCTGTTTCTCGTTAGTTGTTTTGTAAACGAGGTCTCGAGTCTTTTGTTCGTGACCTGTTTTTATCGATAGGTAACGATTTCATTTGATTCTTATTTGAGGGAAGGCTTTCTAATGGGCTCGTAGTGCCTCGTGAATGGTTTCGACTATTCAGTCCATTAATTCAGCTAACGGGCTTAATTCGGGCCCAACAGTTGCCCCCAGCTTTCGAGATAAGATCTCTTTTCTCGGAAGCTACAGCGTAACCGCCTGACCTCTTGTTCCTCGAGATAATGATTACACTCGAAGATTCGCGTGACCTTAATTCTACGGCCTGGATTTCGTTTGGTTAAATCAACGGTAGGGATTAATATATTTTGAATAATTTCAATCCCGAT